ACATACCATGACATAAGATAACATTAACAGTCTACACGACCTAAAGCAGTTTTCTAGGTTCATCAGAAGATGGATACTTTTGAAAGTTTATAAATAAGTATGATAGCGACTTTTGGAAGAAGAGTTAACATTTTATGCTATTTTTTCAGAATATAAAAAGATTTTGCACTGTGTTGTTAGTGGACATGAAACTACTTTAAATACTGGTACGTAGTCCACCAAAAACTAACTGGACTACTCATATGTGTTTACATATGCAAACAAAAATAAAACACATCAGCCGATTTGACCATTAATAATTAACTAAAGCAGGGGTGCCCAACAAATTTAACATACTGAGCCAAACGTAGCGGAAGGGGTCACTCGGTAAAGTAGAAATTTTAACATTTACAGGTTCGGTTGTTACCTATATAGCGAGAGGCAGGCCGTCAGAACTCTCATTGTAAGTATCAAGTGAGGGTGGGGGGTTAAACATGCATTTTTTTCGAAAAATAAGTGAATAAAGTGAAATTATTTGCAAATTGTCAGAAGTCTAAGTGGAAGAATAACGGAGATATGCCGATAGTAAAGGCGTCGGTCGCTGTGATGTAGTGGTAAGCAGTTCACGCTTCCACTCCGCAGGACCTGGGTTCAAGCCCTAGTCAAAGCAACATCGCACAAAAAATATAGGAAAAAGGTTTTTTCTTAACAGCGGTCGTCCTTCGGAGGGCAATGGCAAAACTCCGAGTGCATTTCTGCCATGAAAAACAGCTTCTCATAAAAATACAATCGCCGTTCGGAGTCGGTGTAAAACTGTAGGTCCCTCCGCTTTGTTTGACAACATCAGGGCGCACGCAACAAATCGGAGGAGAAGCTCGGCCAAACACTAACATATGTGTAAGCGCCAATCTATTGTTATTATTATTATTATTAAAACCGTCGGTGCTCCACTCGATCCATCATTATATCTCGTATTTTTGTATTGTATTCGGATTTTTACAAAAAGTCCAAGTATGCAGTTTCATAGCCCATTCAATTTTAGTAAAATAAATAAATATTAGTAAAAAAATAAGTAGCCCAAACTGAGTATATAAATACATACATATGTAAACGAATATGTGCTTTGTTTTTTTTTTTTTATTAAATAAAAAGTGGATTGTTTTTCATTTTAATTTTATTGAAGTTATTAAAAAAACGCATATTTTGAAACTGTGTAGTAG